AGAGAGAGAGAGAGAGAGAGAGAGAGAGAGAGAGAGAGAGAGAGAGAGAGAGATTGCCCTGCTATTTGCATTTTTAAAATGAAGCTGGAATTGATCTGGGCCAGAGGTAGTATTCAGCCGGTTCTGACCAGTTCTGGAGTACTGTTAGTGGAAATGTTGAGTAGTTTGGAGAATTGGCAAATACCACCTCTGACTAGCCCCACCCCACCTATTCTCTGCCTCCCGAATCCCAGCTGACTGGGAGGAAATGGGGATTTTGCAGTATCCTTCTCCTGCCATGCCCACCAAGCCAGTAAAAAAAAAAAATTGAAACCCACCACTGATCTGGGCTGATTTGACTCTGAAATTCTTGCAACTGTTATAACAGCCCAAGTGAAGAGAAGAAGGGCAAATTTACAGTAGATATCTGCTTTCATAATCACTCTTGAAGGAGTCCTAGCTCGCTTCCTTGGAAAAGAAAGGTGGAGCTGGAACAGCGAGGATAAAACGTGATCCTAATGTGATCGAAACATGATCAACAATGGGGATAAAACGTGTATAGGCTTTGTTTAGAAAATGCATTGTCATTATCTACTACTGACAGTTTAGTAAAAAAACAACGTGGGGACAAAACTGCCACCCTGCAATTTGTTTCATTATTGTAAATGCTAAATGAAGAATGGTACCTTAGTCATTTTAGAGCAACTGCTTAGATCATTTTGCGAATAGCCAGTCAAAATCTTCTGGAAAGCTAAAGTGGGGGGCACAGAAGATAGAATTTGTACAAGGGTTTGTGGAAATCCACCACCCAAAAGAATGGGAAATATTTTAAAAAAGGCAGAATATTATATTTTCCTAAAGGAAAAATTGAGAAACATGTTTTTAGAGGCAGAAAGCAGCCCCCAATAATCTTAATAGCCCACAGCAGATGCCAGAATTAAGGGGATAAAGCGCTTATTGGAAGAGGAAGGCAACTATCTAGATGGTTCCATTCATAAGCAAAGCTAATACTCCAGGCAGAAATCCATGGAAGACAGGATATTTCGAATCTCCTTGCAGCAACGTTTGACAGCTAACAAAAGCAGTGTGTGGTAGGATTAGAACAAGCAGCCCCCCGCCCAAGTACCAAGACAGGATGAAAGCCATTAGCCACAATAGGAATTGCCCAACACAAAGTCCATATTGCACAATTCCCAAACTTAAAAGTTACAGAAATTATAAAGATACTGTCAGAGTTTGTTGCAGCAATCAAATCCAGAAAGCACACCCAGGTAACTGATTCAGCAGGATTCATTAACTTCTTTATGTACATAATAACGCATGAGTAAATATACAATACCAACAGTGGATTCTCTAACATTACAGGCAAAACATAGGCATAGGAGAGATTGGTTTCAGTTCAGAGTTCAGAGCTTAATACAGACAAGACTAGACTACTTTCGTTTTAGAGCTGAGCACAGAGCTAAGCCACGCCCATACTCTTTGCTTAAGTTTCTGTTTCCAAACCAGATGGATTTTTCTTCCAACAGGTTCTTGTAGCAGATTAGACTGAAAATGGTAAATCCTAAAAACAATTTGCTCTGATGAACGTTGGCAAATACTTTCAGATGACCAAATTACACATAGGCAAATTAGGAAATAATGGATTGCCTTTTAGGTGGAGGAAGGGCAGGTTGTATCTGTTGATTTTTTTTGGGACAATGACAGCAAGAGTTCTTTTCAATCTGAGAAAAGCTCTTGCATCCTCTTTGCTTGGAGGTGGGGATATTTGAAGGGGGGGAGAGAGGGACAGATAGAGAGACAGAGACACAGAGAGAGAGGGACAGAGAGGCAGAGTGAGAGGGGGGGGTGTCTTCCATGTGTTTATTGAAGCAGGCACATTTTCATACACTCTCTGTTCCAATTCATTTTAGACAATTTTCCTACATTTTTGGCTTCATCACATTTATATGAACAAATAGCTACATATTGATTCTTTTACTAAATACTCCATCTATGCAAATGTTTTAAAAAATGGTCGAAGAACCTAATATATGGTTATAAAGTCAGTGATAATAACATTTAGAAAACTATTAATAGCTTATTTGAAATGTTCATTTCATGTGTAAATTTAATATTTGTAAATTTGGTTCTGAAAACCCCAATGTCACTTAGTCCCTACAACATGAGCCTAATATTTTGCAACTTCTCTGAGAAGAATTGATATATATATATATATATATATATATATATATATATATATATATATAT